AATGTTGACGCCGCTTCATTGCTTTACTTTTCATATTTAACTTTTTTCTAAATTATATTTCGATTTCCTTATGAGTGCACCACTAAAGGAATATCTGGTGTACTTTCGGGGGTCTGCTTTTCTGCGTCGCCGCCGTGGACGCTACGAACTATGAAGGAGGTTGCATTACGTACGCGACCTCACCGCTGGCCGCATAGACGCCACGACGGCATAAAAAGAAGAAAACTTCTTCTGTCATTCGCCTTTTGTCTTTTCACAACAACGCATCAAAAATATCTACCAGCCGCATAAATAATATAAATATTTCGTCATAATAAGTATACCCAGACTGAACACCAGAAGGATAGTGGACGGAGCGGTATTGGCGTTCGTGTCCAAGTGGCGTACATCAGTTCAGTAAGTACTCTCGATTTTATATCAGAGTTCCATCGGGTGCGCTCTAAGGATAATCTCTTTCTATATTTCTTTTCTTTCGCTTTTTTTCTCTTTAACAATTATTTACCGCATACGATTAAGATCCCGCGTGAGGTCTCGGCTATTTACACGCCGCCTCACCAAATATATTCATTTTCTCCTTTGCGCCGTTTATTCCCAATGTTGAGGGTCGTGATCTCGCCGAATGACTCATCTCCCTTGGACTATACTTCACCATCTTGCCCTATCTTCGGCGATATGTATTGCTTCTTACTCGTTATATGCTTGATATCTAGCAAACCAAATTCCCATTTGAATAATGAAAACGTCTTATGAGTCATTTCAGTACAACACAGATGTTTGACTGTTTGAGATGAGATTTATATTTAAATTTTTTTTATCGAAAGCTTTTGTCTCTGAAGTTCTTACATTTTTTTTTTATATTCGCCCGTTTTATATACAAATTTCATAAACAATGCAGTTCCTTTAAGATGAGTAGTATTTCGTCGGTCATAACAAGTTGTTTATATTTATTATAATAAATTATTTATTTTTAGATAAATAATTTATTCAGACAACAATACACAATACAATACAAAGAACTGTTGAGAACAGAATACGTAATTATATGCACTTAGATAAGGGTCAAGGCTCGGTGCACGTAAATCACCCAGGAATGGGTGAAGCATCGATTTTCAGCCGTCATCCAGTCGAGAGTGAGCGGGGCAGATTATTGTCAATGTCATATAAATAAGAAGAATTCAAAAATGTCCAAAATAAAAGATATTCTTAATGAAAAAGAAAAAAAAAATATTCCGTAGTAAAGATAAATGTAAGATAAATAATGATATATTGGTAAAAATAGGAACTCAATATTGCAGTGATTAAAGTAATTGATTTTCCAGTTGAAAACTGGAGTATTTAACTATTGACCCAAACAGTTATATGACAGATCAAAAGTAGGTGAGATGTTATTATCAAGATTGTTCTATCTTTTTTAAAGGAGTTTAGTTACTCAATTATAGCGTATTATCTGATATCTGACATTTGAAGTAAATGTAATGGTAAAATAAAAGTAAATGTAATATCCTAATACAATATAATGTACAAGGGAAAATAGATCTTATTGTTTCACGATGTTCAAGTGAATTTCAAACGTAGGGTGGTATACCATAATTTAAACAACCGACTATACGATAATTAAAGAAATTATAATGTAACAAAATACACAAATATAATTGGTGTACTATTTTGTCTTATAATATCAAAAGATAAAATTTGCTAATTAAAGTGTGTAACTACATTAAATGAGTACAATTAATAGATTAATAAGGAACATGCCTGATTAAATTGTTGTTTTGCCGTGAATTTTGCGTGTTTAGATATAATTGCTGGGAATAAGGAACTAATTCACTTTGATTAAATAGAATGTCTATATAGAAATCTTTTTAATTTAACGTTATATTGGATTTGGTCGTTCTGAACGTTACTTCTTATATTTGGTGATAATTAAACGCAACTTTTATATTTTTTATTACCTAGCATGGTATATTACCTACCTATTATAATGTTTGCCATTTTTCAGACATTTAGATAGAACAGATCCAAGTGGTACTCGAGTTACCGATTTGAACTTCTCCAATAAAAAAAATATTACACTCCAATTTTGGCATTGTCATTCGACGAATATATCTTCTATTACATATCATATCATTTTGTTCTAGATTGAATAGCACTTATATATTTTAGAGAGTAAAACCAAAAGATCCTATTTCCATCTCAGATAGGGCACCAAATAAAAACTAATGCAATGTTTAAATTAAACAATTATTATTATGTCAGCTGTAAATATAGTGAGTATGTAGGTTAACTGTGAAGTTAGCTTTGTAAAATACAATTAGTACTAATCACTTTTCTTACAGCCTATTACTATTAATATTGTAATAGTTAACTAACATTATTTATTAAAGCTTAGTTAAATGGTATTAACTAAGCTCTAATAATAAAAAGATTAAAATAAAAGAGTAAATAATTCTCTCCTTCGGTTCGTAATAATAAATTTCACGATATTTTTTGTATTATTATGATTTAGTTATATGCAAGTCTTTTAATAGTTTTATGTACCGTTAAAATAGTACCGTTAATTTTTATGGGTTGTTAATAATTTGTCGTCGTGCTGAATTTTTAACCCTCAACGAGAAACGAAAAAGACGGATATTATAAGTGTGTTTAAATACTATTCTTCAAGTTCAATGTCAAAAGACTTGTAGCATTATTAATGCAAATTTATCATATAAGTATGTACTTATTTTAAAAAAAGACAAAAGCCAATGGTTATCATGAATAAAAAAGACAAAAGAATGAATGACGATTAAAATAAACATGAGAATTTTCAATCTAAAATTAACACTAAATATGTTTGAGTTTTAATATACTCGATTTTAAAAGCACAATATTTCAGATTACCTACATTAACTGTTTTACTTGAATTAATATTCATAGTTATAACGCATCCTCCGATTTTCAATGTATGTTTACGCATCGTTGGTTGAGACATATTTACATTTAATAATAACGTTCAAACAATAATTTATTTGCATAAACAGAAATATTTTTGTGAAGATCAGTATATATTCACACGAGATGCCGTTTGTAATAATATTTTGTTCAATTTCCATAACTTAAACAATTATTTAATACATATTTATTAATTGTGTAATTTAATAATATTTAAATAATATAGCACAAATAAAATTAGTAATATAAGAGGTTAAATTATCGAATTTATACGAGGTTAATGTACAAACTTACCTTTAAACGAGCACCCTTATATATATGTCGTAGCCATGTGGTTAAATCAGCCATCCAATGAGGCGGCTAGCCTTTAATTGAATTCAATTGACGGGCTGAAATTAGTTGAACGTCACTTTCTACAATATGGCTGAACAAAACCCAGCCAAAACACCTTGTTACAATCTGTAACGGATACAGAACTGATCAAAAAGTTGATAATAAACTTCTTATTCGTGACTGGGTATTAATGAAAAATTAATCATAAATGAAAAAAGCTATTCTAGAGTATGTAATGATAACGCAATTTTCGGGCAAAAGTAATGAAATATATTTTATCTACACTCAAATCGAAAAATTCGAATTACTAATTCAAAGACGATTCTATACATACGCATTTTATAAACGCATATACATAAAATTAAAAATGAAATTATAGTACCTCCAACTGTATCATAAATAAGACGAACGCATGCGCAGTTCGAACTGAGAAAAAAATGGCGCACGCATAAATTACTTCCTGGTAACCTTACTACTTCATTTAATTTCAATTTTTCCTATGAGTGAAGATAAAGTAGTGTATGAAACTGTATATAACTTAGGTATTAAAACATTTCAGTCAACCTATTACCGCATTCAGCTTCACCTCGTGCCTTCATAAACAGACTCTCGTGTTTTAATACCCCCTTCTTATATGACAGTTGCATAAACTACTATTTATTAATGAGCGTTTTGGTAACGGTGCATTATTAATATTTGTACTGTCATTTGTTTTTATATCGCCAGCCTATAAATGGGCTACTTACAACCTCAGTTTAATGAATTGACGACTACTATGTCGAATGGTTTCACGTGCAATTTTCGGTCACCCATCCTGTGATGGACCCTTGCAAAATTTGTTTCAATTGCGCCAAATTGCTCTTTTAATTAAGTAGGTGTTATTATATTTAATATTTTTTGCATTCACAATGCTATACTGAAGAATATTCTTAAAGGAAAATGTTTAAAAAATTCACTTTGTCCCTGGCACTCAGACATGGGATTCGAACCTATGACCTTTCGCAATCGCATGAGCAGTCGCTCGGACGCTGACAAAGTGAATTATTTTAGCATTTTTCGGTAAAAATAATAGTAAGTGTTGTTGAACTGGTATTACGAAAAGAAACAAAATTTACTAAGGTGTCATGTTTCAAATCCAAAAAGTATTTGCCCGATTTTAAGAATTTTTAAATCGGTTCAGTATTTTCTCACCCTAATCATTGCCAGAAATCAAACACTTCTTCTTTTAAAGTAGTAAAGTAGCTATACTAGTATTATGGAAATGAAAAATAACGAAGGTAAGACAACACCCAGATCCAAGACAATGTGGAAAAGTTAATTTTCTACATTGACCTGTGTAGGTAACCAGAACGTCAGAGATGTACGACATAACGACAGTGCAGCAATACAATGTGCTGATATTTTAAAAGAGTTCCATCTCTTCATTACTTCAGATTTCGATAAAACTAGTTATCTAATATATATTTATGAATTGCCACACAAGTTGCACTATTCTAATGTCATTCTCTTACTTATTTCTTATTAGTTTTCCGTCAGCGGCTTCGTTCTCGTTGTCATCTATTATAATTGTGTTTTACACTATTTATAGATATTGTATGTAAATTCTTCTTATTGTACTAGGATTGAATAAGTAGGTAAACGTTTTATCCACGTACATATAAGATAAAGCCATTATGCATCGTATAAGCAAATTAATAAACATGCAATCAACATTGCTAGTAACACAAATTGACTTTCCGAATTTAATATACGACCTAATACTAGGCAAGGATACTTGATGCAAATCGTTGGTGCAATATCATGTGCAACTTGCATCCGATTAAATTTGGCAGTTCAGGACGATGCGTTTGCAACTATAAATACTGTTTGGTTTTCAGCATGTTTCACACTTCGCCGTAAATCGAAGAAATATGAACACCTACGTTGCTGTGAGTAAAAATACTAAAATATTTAAAATTTTGTTTGCATATAAAGTATTTATATTGATTAAATATATAAACAGACGTGTCAATCTCAATTCGATCTCGAAATTAAAAATAGGTAAAATTATTTTAAAAATCCCGAATCAGTTTTTATCAGAGTCGGGATACAATATGATTATTCTATTCAAAGTGAGGAAAATATTTACTTAATAGTGCGTATTCAGGAATACCCGCTACAGCAAGTCTCGCTCGCTCAAAGCATGAGAGGCTTGTAATATAAACATCAATTTGTGGAAGGGTACCGTATCAAAAGTCAGCAAAATAAAAATTTAAACGAGACAAATTAGGTGGATATAAATTACGTAATCAGAAAGGGAGTTTGGTCAACTTGGCTTAATTCTATTGTATACCTTTAGCAACTTTTGTTATACTTGCAGTTTATAGAAAATCTCAACAGATCATTTAAGTTAAATCTTCCATATCTATTACTCCGTTCATTAACGTATCTATATTAGAGATACAAAAATATAATAATGTTTCAGTTATTATTATGATTGCCTCTACATTAAATGTAATGCTACTTAAAAAAGCAGAATCGCAGATAATAACACAATCTATATATTTAACCAAAACTTTATCAATTTTATAAAGTTTAAATCTTATAATTGGACTTATACTGAATAAAAAAAAATATGCAAACAGATAAGGTTAAAAGTAACTTCAAATATAATTCAGCTGCTCGAGTCCATACACAGGAGAATAGAAAGTATGCACTGTAGTGACTGTAGGTATAGAATGAACCAAACGTCGGCTGTCTTATCCAATGAAATTAATAGTCATTGACATATTCGATGTTTTACTTATTACTGAATAAATGGAGTTAATATTTATCTCGTTATAAAAATAATACAGACTGTAGTCTCTGAAGATACACTAATTATAAAAACTTAAATACTTATAGAATAGATACATACATAACTATTAGGATATTTTTATATATCGATTAATTTATTATTTGTTTTTAGTTGTCTTGCCTCTTGGCTTTCGCCACCGTGTGCCATGGCTCAGCCATCGGCTTGAGTGGAGTTCCACTCGGAGTCGGCTTAGGTAAGTGCTTTAAAGTTCACTTTTTTTATTTAGGTATAACGGAATACGATTTTAGTCAAAAGTTCTAAAGATAATTTCTGAAAGAAATAAAAATAACCTATCGCCTGTTGCCATTTATTTTTAGAAACGAATAATCTATATATATTAAAATATAAACCGCTAAATATAGGTAACTTCTGAAGGACTGCACCAAATTGGACGATTCTTTGTTTTATGTGTTCTTTATTGTCAGAAGTTTTGTGTGTAAGAAAAATTCGGAACAGGTGAAATAAATCATGAAAAGAATGGTAAATTCAATAGAAAACAACATGAAAATATTAAGTTTCCCTAAAATACACGTTATACCTTATAAACGATCAAAGGCTCACTTCAACCTATGAAGTTGCCACTAAGCACATGAGATATTTTTTTCTAAATTTAATAATTATGTTAAAAGGTATTACGACGATAAATATCTTGTGACTGTGGAATTCTTAAATGTATCTGAAAAGTCATCAGACTATTTGAAAGGGCTCTAAACATTTTAACATACATGGTGTTTATTTATTTATTAATAAAAAAAGTGATATTTTTTAAAAATTAAGTAGAGATATCTTCTTTTATTGTTAAAATTGAAACCCAATTGCCATTTAATATTTATTTTTGGATTACGTTTCCTCTGACGGTGAATGAATGAATGAATACTAATGGCGATACAAGTTGAAAAATTCGTCAGTGTTGTTAGGTCCTGGAGAGCTCAGTGGTTAAAGCAATCGATTGCGAAATATCATGGGATCGAGTCTCATCTCACGGTGCCAGCGATAAAGTGGATTTTTCATTAACCATATTTTAAGCTTTTATTTTATTTAAAAATAACATAATTGAAGAGATTCTGTTATTCAGTTGAAAGCTCCGTGATACGCTCAAAAAGTTTCCTTTGTTGCCCGCCTAATATCTCTTTTGCCGTTTAGTGTTCGTCCATATAGAAAAGTCAGAAACCATACTGAAATATTATCTATCTTATTCATCGGACTAAATTAAAACTTAATATTAAATCCGCTCAATTTCTCTTTTTCTAAGGTTTGGCACCAGCTGCAGTGTCCACTGCTAACTTGGTGAAGGCAGCACCAATCACTGTTATTAGGACCGCGGCAGTCGCTCCGATCGTCAGTCCTATTCTCAGCCACGCTCCTGTCCTCCGCACTGTAGCAGTCGCTGCCCCAATTAGCGCGCCCATCGTATCGCCTATCGTTTCGCCTATCGCCACGTCCATTGCAGCGCCCATTGGTTACGGACTGGGAGGCCTCGGTGGATATGGCGGTCTCGGTGGATATGGCGGTCTCGGTCTTAAAGGTGTAGGCTTAGGCTTAGGCCATTAAGCAACAATACTAAAGCGGCGAAGTGTAGTAGCTACAATTCAAATTTTAATTGAGTTTTTAAATTGGTTGAAGCACTCGAATAATAACGCATTCACGCATAATAACGCTTTTTTTTTGTATAGTTTCTTTTTATATTCAGTAAACAAGTAATTTTGTTTCTTGCATTGGAATTTAACTATAAGTATTGATCATCATCAGCGCTTTTACGTCCCTACTGCAGGGGCTCAGGCCTTCCTTATGAATGGAAAGGAGAATGGGTCATGACCCTTTAAGCTGGCTCAATGCGGATTGGAGAGTATTAACGTCTGCAAATGCAACCGGGACCAACGTCTTAACGTAGCTTCCAAAGTACGGAGTAGCTCGAGCAAAATTTTTTTTGGTCACCCGTCCCGTGATCGACCCTAGCGAAAGTTCCTTAAAAAAACGCCGTCCGCGGCGCTTATCCTCTACGTCACCGAGCTACTCAATTAAAAACTAAAATAACTCAAAACTATAGGTATTGGTGGAAGTATTAAGCTGAAATTTGATGATGATGTACAGGTAGAGAGGAAGACTAAATAGTAGGACATTATGAGCACGAGAAAATGAAGTTTCAAGTGTTATAATTTCAAAATCTGTGCGTCGTTAAATTTAAAATAATGTTTTCAAAGTTCTCAAATAAAAACAAAATACAAAAGCTCTAATTTCTCTGATGAAAGGGGAATTGGCCTGAAGATAGTTGGTCGAAGTAGATATTAATTGCTTTTTCAATTAACATTGGGAGAGTCAGGGAATAGTATTTGCGAAGTAATTGACTGGCATAGATTAACAAAAATCAGGTGCACCAAATTTATAATGAATGAATAATATAGAAGTTTGGGCAACCGTAATAATATCATACGAACATTATTAATAATATTCTGTATTGCACGCTAGACAGGACATATTACAGAGAAACTAGAAAAAAGACAAAGGGCGACATTATTGCTAAAAGAAAAAACATTAACTATATAATAAATAAGGGTTCAAGATGGAGAAGCAAATAGATAAATCTGAATAATGTTATAAAATATACAAAATAAATAAAGATAAAAAGTCATTAAATATAATTATTTAAAAAAAAATCAGGGACGTGTGTCTTCACTTTTACACTAAAACAATGTAAGGTACAAGCCTTTTTTATAGCTTCAGGTAACGAATTCCAAAGACGTATCTTATGCATGGAAAATGGGTAGGATAAGAAGTCGGAAGTATGACGAGGAATATTAAGGGTTAAGTTAAAATATGAGCGTAGAGTACTGTGAAGAGGAGGTTCGAAAGGAAAAGCATTTTTTTAGGTAAGGAGAGGTCGTAGACAGAAAAAGGATTGCTGAAATTGAAGATAAATCGGATACCCTAGTTCTGCAGACGCTCCAGCTTGTTAAGAAACTCGTCCGACAAATCAGTGTAAGAAACATCAGCGTAGTTAAGGATTGGAAGCTTGCCCTTGCTCATACACTCTATGAGCAAGGGCAATTTTCGTGTATGTGGGTAAAAAGTTGCGCAGACGGTTGAGTGAGCCAAACGCGGCAAACATTCACTTCCCGAGCAATTACAGATGAGGCTTCCAAGAAAGGCATTGGTCAAATATCACACCGAAGTTTTTGACAGATTTTGAATATGGTATGATAGTGCCAAATGTTCAAAATTGACCCTCGAAACGAAATGCCTGCCAATTATTATTGTTTGAGTATTCAAAGGGTTGACAGTAAGGCCAAATGATTTACTTTAGAAATTTTGGAGAGGTAAGTATTGGTAATTGCCACTGCATAAATTTGACGATCATCAGCATAAAGGTGATAGGAACTAGAAATTAATTGTGTGATAAAGTTAATAAACATAGAGAAGAGAATATGAGATAAGACACCACCCTCAGGAACTCCGGCTTTTATAGTGCACCACGAGGAGAAGTTTTCTTCACCACGGATGCGTTGCCGACGCTCTAGTGGGTAAATTTTAAACCATGCCATTGTTGCTGGAGATATGTTAAGAGAAGGCATTATACCAAGAATAATGTTGAAGTCGACCGAGTTGAATGCGCTACTAAAGTCAAGTAACGTTAACAGCGTTAGCTGCTGATTTTCCACACCATGTCGGATGTCATCTGTTATTTTTACCAGTGCTACAGAAGTGCTGTGCCCCCTACGGAAGCCAGATTGAAAGGAATTAAGGAGTTGGTTTTGGTTGAGGAAAGCAGTTAGCTGACGGGATACAAGCTTTTTAAAGACTTTTGAGAGGAAAGAAAGAATGGACATGGGGGATATTTTGAAAATGTGCTTGGATTATGTATCTTTTTTATTTAGGATAATCTTTTTTATATAAGAAAGCTGACTTAAGGGTATTCTTTGTCTGATCTGTGATTTGGTCGTGGTACGTTAGTCCAGGTTTCCTTTAAGATATATATGTAATATTTTTCAGATAATTTACTTACTGATGTTAGGTAAGTTTGAATACCAAATAGTTACATGCCTAATACAGTATCTGCGTCTTGCATATTCCTTGAGTAGTCGTCGACGCTCTGATATTCATAATTCCATTTCATTTATGATATCAAGCAGCAGTAGACAATATGCTTTCAATGCAAGATTCCTATTCTTGCACTGTGTCATTAAGGTCAAGTAGTATGATGCTCACAGACGTAATAAATTAGAATAATTACAGAAAAATGTTATAGAGAAATTTCTTGAAATAATTCAATATCATATAGGGATGTTTAAATATTATAATTAAAATGGAGACGTGAAAAGTTGAATTTTAAAATCGGAAGTTTGATATGAATCAATACTCACACTAAATCTCAACAGAATCATAACGAATTTATTCAATGTGGAGTGCGAGTTAATGTGAAACTAATAACCCGAGTGACGCAAAGTGTCAGAGTTACGCAACTCAAGCCGGCAACTTATGAATAATTGCTTATTAGTATACTGCAATACGTAATTAAACGGTACTCGAGCTCGTAATTAATTCTAACTATGTATATTCACGCGTTGAATTTACTCTTTTTAGATAATTTAATCATGCTTATTCTACATTTATTATTATAACAATGATCTGTTAATGTTACGTAATAATTGAATCTCAATAGAATCTGAACTACTTACATTTTTCCATTGTACTATCTACATGTAATCCAATATTATTACATAACTGCCACCATTGATGTGGATGAGGAAGGCATTGAACTTATAATATTGTACTTCAGGTAGATGGTACAATGGTAAAACTCAAGTAGTTGAGATCCTGCTTGGATGATTATTACCCAAACATTATCAGAATTGACCTGCAGCCTATTAATGTCGCCACACAGCATAGGCCGCAGTTATGGATAGAATCGAACAGGGAGAATAGCATGTGGTTATGCTCATGATTAACGTGACCAGACGTCTGTTTTGAACGGGAAGTTTCTCTTTTATTGTTTGTCTGACCCGGATTCTGGAACTCCAAAAGTTCCGTTTTAGTAAAAGTCCGAAAATTTTATCTGACGCACATTGTCGGTTGCTTGCGGAGTGAGGGAGGAGGGTAAGGCGACAAGACATTAGTTATCTATGCGAAATCATCTATGTGTGTGTGGACTCTCCCTTATTGACCTGCCTGCTCTTCCAAAGCGCAGATCAAAGGGCGGGACCCACTAAAACCCTGAACATGCACTTGATTGTAACTGGCACCCAGGATCCGGGTGCTATTTATTCGTACATCACCAAATGCAACATATAGAAAATCTAATCAATCGCCATACGGCGATACTTGAAGTCCATATCATCTATAGCCAAAGCTACATCTTCCAAGAGTTCTCCCAAAAATTTTATTTTCCTATTTAATACATTATGTAATTTAGGAGGAGTTGAAGTAAACGAAAGTCAATCTGAATAGAACGCATCGAAGGAAGTGTAAGAAAGGAATTTTTGAATACTTTTTATAAAAAAATGTAAAGAAAATTCATTTTGTACGTCTCCTTTTGGTTTGTATTGGTCAGACAAGCTTTATATGTTGAGCAGTTGAGTTACATCTGGCAATAAGCCATCATCTATTCCCGTTGCTTTGTACTTGTCTGTCGCTAAGAATCGCCATATGCTAGAGCGAGAGTGATAGCGAGCTTGTGACAGCATGCCGCGAAATCATCCAAGCGATAGATATATATATATATATATCTATCGCTTATATATCTATATATATATATATATATATATATATGCAAGTCTATCCATGTAGTACTCATTACTCACACAGTATGAATTTCTGCAATTATTTTTCTGCCATACTACGATGTTACCATCAACATCATCAGCCCTGTTACGTCCCCACTGATGGGGCTCAGGCCTTCTTTATGGATGGTTAAGGAGGATGGGTCATGACGCTCCACGCTCTGGCCCAGTGTGGATTGGAGGGTATTAACGATTGCAAATGCAGAAGGGACTAACGGCTTAACCTGTCTTTCGAATCAAGGAGTAGATAATCATTTACAATTATTTAGGGTAATTAAAATAGTTCTACCATCTTAAGTGATTTGTTTACAAAGTTTACATCTAGTTCCTAGTTATACAGATTTCCGATAGAATATTACTGAAAAATGTCATGGAAAGTGCATGAACAATTCATGAGCAGATGTTCTGCTCAGCTTTCGCGTACTCTGTATAAAGTTACACGTCTAGGGAATAATGTAGTCTGGAGCTGTTTTATGTGAGCACATAATAAATTTTATTTAAATTTCCCATGATGGTTGTACGGACCTATGTAAACAAGGTGTAACTGACGTCGTTTTATAAATAATAGTTACTTAACATTAACATGTAAATTAACATGACACCTGGAGGATTCTATTTCGACGAAAACAACATTTCTTCTATTTTCGAAACGCTAATAGGACCACAAAACTCATTTTTCTATAATTTATGATGCAACGGAAATAGGACCTGATACTCTCTCATGCACAGATTATCTCCATAAATATAATTTTACTAAAATTGCAAGAGCGATTCGAAATTTTTGATTTGATTACAATTAAAATAGGCCCTTGAGCGTCATGTTATGTGAATACATGTGTAATATTTAAAACAAATTTTCACCTTTATCGAAAGTTTAAGTATTCTTAAAAATATTTCTTTCGGCTGTTTGGTTGGATTGCCTGAATATTGAAGATAATATCGCTCACTGAATAATACAGTGGCACAACTCAAAAACCATTTTTTCGAGAAAACGCCACAACATTGTGGTGGCATCCCATAGATAATTTAAAGAAAAAATAAAAAAACTTAACAGTAATAATATAATACAAACGATTTAACTGTTACGATAAAAAAATTTGATTCTCATAATTATAAATATATTAAATTTTCATAACTTCGGAGAGCGTTTCTCGAAATATGGTTTTTGAGTTGTGTCACTCTACTATTCAGTGAGCGATATGCTCTGTAGTAGCGAAAACGTAAGAAGTGCTTGAAAGATTCGTCAGTCCTGTTAGGTCCCGGGTAAGTCAGTGGTTAGAGAAATCGCCTGGATTGCGAAAGGTCATGGATACGAGTCTCATCTCAGAGTACCAGGGATAAAGTGGATTTATTAAGCATTTTTCATTAAG